CTTTTTTTTTTTTCCCCATAACTTTGAGCCAGCTATAAAGAGGGTTTTGAAGGTTATTGACATTACAAAATTTGGAATTCTCAGACAGAAGTGGCTTTTTGCAATATTAGATCACCTATTTTTTCTGTCCATTTTGCCCTGCTGGGTTACTGAGCATGCTGTAGAATCATAGAATAATATGTACCCACTCCACCTTGTCCTGTCCTTCCATCCCTTGTCCCCAGTCCCTCTCCAGCTCTCCTGGAGCCCCTTTAGGCCCTGGAAGGGGCTCTGAGATGTCTCTGCAGCCTTTCCACCCCCAGGTGAGCACCCCCAGCTCTCCTAGCCCGGATCATCTCTGTGTTCTCCTCTGGACTCTCTCCAGCAGATCCAAGGTCTTTTCCCTCAGAGCTGCTCCCCATCCATCCTCTTCCCAAATCCTGTATTTGGGATTATCCTGACCCACATGCAGGGATATCCACATCCCCATCTCTGCTGCTCACAAAACCTCAGCTGTGTTAGACACTGAAGTGCTGAGAGATTGCTGAAGTCTAAAGACTCTGAAATCAAAGGCAGCAACATTAATATTCTGTGCAAATGTGAAGAAGCCATGAAAGCTTTGTTTGTTGCTAAAGAAACCAACTAAATCAAACAAGTTGAAGAAAACAAAGACTTGTATAATTGTTTTAATTAAAACTGCCACTTATTCCAGAAAAAAAAAATGCAGCACAGTCGTGCTCTCCAAACATTTCTTGCTTAGACTTGCATGCTCGAAATCTGTGTATAATAAGTGAAATAAAACATTGCCAGCCATTTTCCAGCCCTGTTCGACACAAAAGCTCCAAAACAAATTGCAAGAAACCCATGCAAAACTTTGTGATGTTTACTTCATATTTTATCCCAGAGGAATTTATGGAACTTGCCATTCAACTGTGAAAGCATGTTATCTCAAATTATGTGCAACTCTCCCTAAATCTTCAAAGAGCATCATGGCAGTTGGCCATCAAACTCACTGTGACTTTAGACATTCAAAAACAGCATAAATGCCAGGATCTGGCTGCCCTGTGTGGTTATTTTGGGTTTGGGCCCTCCATGCATTCAGCCTCTGGTAAAAGCCATGAGATTGCTTTGCCTTTCACAAGCTGCTTATCCCCTTCACCTTCCCACTCCACAAGGTTGTTTTGGCATCTCAAAATAAGTCAGATACAGAAGGAATCCTGCTAGTTTCTCAGCTCCTGCAACCAAGCCCCTGTTTTTTTAATGTAAGTATGAGAGATATAAATATATCTTAATTTTAATTGAAGGAGCATGTCTGACCTTTCTGCAAAATACTGTCACTTGAGGTTCCTGTATTTCTTCTTTAAAATATTCATTAGGCTTTTAAGCATGCAAGTTCAGCTTAAATTTGAAATATTTTGCCTTCCTCAAGTACAGAGTTGCTTCCACTGCAGAATTTGGTCCCACATTGGTTCATCACTGTTGGTGTATGAACCCAGCATGTTGTCACTGTGTGGCAAAGAGATTGTTATAAAATCTGAACCACACTTGCCTTCCCCTCTCAAATAATCTGTTCAGATACTGCAGTTTGGCTTGAACCTGTCTTTTATCTCCTTTTCTCAGCACTCTAGGAGCTCTTTATCTCCATCAATTCTTACATTTGTATACAGGAGTGTTGGGAACCATTTTTTTGTATATATCAATTTGTTATGTCATTTCAAAGATCTTATTTTTCTCCATGCTTCCTAAGCATTTTTAAACTTGAGAGAAGAGGGGGTGACTATTAGAAACATCCTACAGGAAGCCATAATTTATCATCAAAATACTTGCAAATTTCTTCTGAACATGTTACGTTGAGCTTTCTGGAGACTGCAAAGATTATAGTAACGCCATTTTTTGTCTTTTCTTTATATTTTTCTTTTTTTTTTTTCCAGTGGCTGGATGACTGAAATAATTTCAAGTCTATTTTTTTACTAGAACCTGATCACCACCTGTTTGAGTGAAGAGACTGAGGACTGTTTGAAAGTAATGCCTTTGGCAACACATACACTTTGCTCAGTCTCTCTCACATCTTCATTTTATCATATAAAAGGCTTTTCCAAGTGGTGCCTGAGAACAGTAAAGACCTCATTAGGAGCTGAAAACTGTTGGGGATTTCAATGTTGATAATGAAAATCTTATTTATGGAATTGCTGAATATGCACATAAAGTCTAAAAAGCAATAGCCTAATAGGTGAAATAATAGTCCAAGGGAAAAGGAGGAATGTAATCACACCATTCCTATTTTCTAATGGCCATTTCCTTGCTTAGTCATGTTGAAAGAGAGTCAGGGAACTGGAAGGTACAGCTGTTTCTGGCATCTTCCAGGCTGGTTTCAGGACTCACATAATTTTCCTGTCCAGTTAATATTTTGGTAGTAAGCAAAAGGTGTGATCTGTCAGAGATTGCTGAAGATCTGCAAATATTCTTCTGCCTTTAGGCTCAGGTAAGAAAAGGTGTGAACCCCCATCAGAGAAAGAAGGAAAAGATAAGTATGGATGAGGAAACTCCCATTGTTTTCTAAAACAGGGGTGTAAATACATGGTAATTAAATATTGAGTAAATGCAGCTTTTCTGTGACTAAACAAATCAGATGCATGCAAAGCCAGGACATGTTTATCAGGGAAATGTGTGTTGTAAGGGAATAATGGCTGTACAGCTTCCTAACTCTACTTCATTGCATGCATTTATTCCACTGAAATTGGTAATCATGTCAGAATAGAGCTAGTTAAATATTATGGGAAATAAGGGCCTTTAATACAAGCCTCTGTGCCTGTCTGTCCTTTTGTATGGCACCTCCTAACACAGTGTCTGAGTGCAGAGTTCTTCACCCTCATCTGATTTAAAATGGAATGGATGTGGTGGAGACCTCTGGTCCAGAGCAAACTGCCCGAGATGAATCAGCTGCTCAGGTTGGCCTCACAGAAATGATAACGGGGTTCTGTGCTCACATCTGAGTTATTTAAACTGCCTGATTTGCTCCTGGGACGTGAATGGGCCGAGTGCTCTGTCTCAGACCCTGGTGCAGGGCTTTGGAAAGCTGGATCAGGGCAGAGCAGCCCTGGAGCCCCTGGGAGCCTTCCCAGATCCCATCTCAAAGTGCTGGATCCTGGGATCGATGCTTTGGGTTTGATCTCCCCTCCTCCAGTCTCGGGTTTTGGTTGATAATTGCTGCCCCGAGATGTGCAGGGTGTCTCTGTTTTGGCCCACACAGCTGAAGAACGAGTCTGGACTCTTCACTTTTCAGTCTTGACGTTGTTTATTAATTCTTATCTATAAAATTTCCTTTCTGCCCAGCCGAGGTCTGCTCAGCAGGGCAGCCACAGGCACTCTGTGTTGTCCTTTTATACTACAAACTACATATAACGTATTTACACTTAATTCCCAATACCTATCACCTATGTTAGACAGTGCACTTCTACTCTAAACCAATCCCAAAGTGCCAACATCACTGCAGAAAATGGAGAACAAGAAGAAGAAGAAGAAAGGCTGGCCACGCCCAGATTCCTCCATCTTGTCCCCATAACCCCCACACCAAAAATCCTGAAATCTACATTTTCACTCTGTGATAATTTTATTATTACACCATTCAAACCTCTGTGACTTTCAGGTCCTCATACAAAGCTGGCAGCTTGCTCCAGGGGTCAAAATCAAACCCCCAGGTGCTCTGGGCTGCGTGCCAGGGTCTCTGAGCCCCCCGACGGGGTCCTTGGTAACTCTGGACAGCCAGAGGGATGCCCTGAGTTCTGACACTCCGGGAGGCTGGGGATGGCTCACATGCTAGGAGCACATGCTGCTGCTGCTGCTGCTGCTGGTGCATCCTAAGGGAGAAGGGTTGAGGACTTCTCAGGAGGCAGCTTTTCATCAGTGAGCGCAGGCTTGGATGAATTGGAAAGATTTCTCTGGACCACAGCAATTTTGGTGAAATTGCTGAGAAGCAGCATTATCAGGCAAGGACACTTTTAATTCAGTAAAGATAGAATGCTTCAGCTGACTTTTGTTTGATTCTGTTGTGAATTCTAACGCACTATTGTGCACACCTTGAAGCCATTAAGGCAAAATGAAGAATTCAAATAGGATCAAGATTAAATGTTTTCTACTGTCCCAAACAAAGCATAATTCAATTAAAGTACCTTTGATGATCACTACACTGCAGCAGTTTCATTTTTGAGATATAGTTCATCATTTAGATTAATACTCCTGCTTGAAAGAAAAGCAAATTTTGGCATGCTGATGTTTCCTGCAGACCCAGCAGCCCATGAGAGGGATTGGAAAATTCAGACTGAGAGCATCTCTCTTCCCTTTCTCCAGGTCCTCTCTTTGATGCAGGACCATGGCAGGAGGGAGAGGAGGGAGAAAGATAAGAATTGGGTTTATCATCTATAAATAGAGATAGCCCTTCACACTCACTTCCTTGAGAAGTCGTGGAGCACCAGGGGAAAGAGGAACAAAATAAATCTGAGAGAGGCTGGGAAAGCTCTGTACATTTCAGGAATGTTCAGAGGCAAAGTTAACTCTGGCAGCCCACGTTCTTTAAAAAGACACCATCAATTAGTTTCTCAAGTTTGATTCTGTCCTGTATCTACCAGCTGGAAAGTTTGTTGGGCAAGAAGCATAAGTGGGTTGTAGAATATAAATCATTGCCCCTGACACCCAGGGAAAGCATCACTTGTTTTATACTGACGTGGTTGTGGTTACTGCAGATTGCTTGTGCAGAATCTTGGGCAGGATCAGCAGCTTGGTTCAGGCACAGATTTTTAGATTATGGGAGTTAGAAGCTGAAAGAAATTGTTAGGAAGTTTAGCAAAGAAAGGCTGTGATCACACTTTGACCTAAAATGGAATTAAACTGTCCACTGCTAAGGGACCCAGTAGCAAACCTGGCAACATTACTCAAAAATATTTTAAAAATTGTTTTATATGGACTGTGCTACATTGGATTTCTTCCTGCTTGTTTTTTTTCTGTTTGCTTTTTTTTCCCCATAGGTGAAGAAGATGTGGAAAATAGACCATACATGGAAATCTGTGAATCCTATGCTGGCATCTGCATAAAGGATCATTTTCTGGGCGGTAGGCAAATGGGCCATTGCTGGTGTTGATTAAGAACAGTCTTATGGTTAAAAAAAAAAAGATAACAAAAATCCTGTCCTCTAAACCAACAAGCAAGTGACACCCAAGCCAGGAAGCTCAAAATCAACAAAATAAACCTTATTCCAAAAGCTGGATTTGGTTTTTAATTGACTGATTTCCTACCAATAAGAGGACATTTCAGGCTGGTGGGCCCGATGAGAGGTCCTTGAAAGCCCAAACTGAACAAGCATGTGAAATATTTAAGGCCACATTTTTATATTTATTAAAAACAGCCTAAATAATTAAACTAGTTGATTCACTGGTGGCTTTCAGGCTCATGCCCAGAGTGAAAGGTCATGACCTGACATACCAGGGCCCCACTTGGTACTGATGATTGACAGGAAAAGGAAATAAGTTGATATCTTTCACGTGGGAATCACAGCTTGTAGCAACTATGAGCAAGTGGGCTATTTGGACTTTGTGGGAAAACTTAATTGTGTTATTATTCAAAATCTTCGTTCCCAAAGTTGGTTCAATGGTGATTTATTTACTTATGTGATAAAACAGCTGTGTACTGTAATAAAATACAGGTCACTTGCTGATGTTTAATGCACAAAAGTGAGGATATGTTTGGTTTCTTTTGCTTTGAACTTACAATCAAGCTAGGCAGCAGGGATGGCTTTGAATTATTAGGAATTTTCTGTTAGTGTATTGGAAATATTCAATGTTCTCATCATAGTATATATTTTTCACTGCTTGGTTATGGAGAAGGAGGAAGGCACCATACACTGAAATATGAGTGCCTCTCCACCATATGCTTTCATTATTTCTTTATAATGATAAAAAGGGGCTGCATTCAGTGCCAGACAATGTCATGGCCCCAGAGATTTCAGTGGCCTGCAGAAGAAAGGAGAAAAAAGCATTTATGATATGAATGAGGATTTGAAATGGCTTTTTAAAAAAAGGCCTAAGATCCACTTTCACCCTAAATTCTGAAATCACTTGAAAGATGTCTAGATGCAGGGTTTGAAGAATAGCAACTTTCCACCAGGCTCTGTTTTAAATGCAGGGTGGCTGCCATCTTCACCAGGCTTTGTTAGGAGGTCAGATAATTGTACCAAGCAATAGGTCACAGCCTAACTTCACGTTCTGTGTGATTTGTTCTAGCAGTGAGCCCTGTCATCTTGATCCAGAGGGCATTTTCTGTGCCCCAGTCATTTACAAGTCAGCCAAAGGATGCACTCTGGTTTGTCACTCGAAGTTCAGTGGGTTTTGTGTGAGCTGCCCTGTCTTTGTGCCTTTCTGCTCCTTCCCCAAAGTGTGGGCATGACATGAGCTGGGCCAGGCTGCAGGGCCAGGCCACACTCCAGGGATTTTGTGGCTTTTTCCAGAAATTCCATGCACTGCCAGCTCCTTCATCCCTGCGTCTATTGGCTGATAACAGCCCATTAAAATTCCCACAGAGTCAAAAAGTAGTTTTACCCCAGAGCAGGCCATGGTGGGGAAGGTTTGCACATTTCAGCTCAGTGTGACACCACATTCTGGGTGATAAAGCAGGCAGTGCTGGCATTTCCCTCAGAATATCTCCACTTCTTTTCTGAGCCTTTCCTCATATCTTATTCTTGATTCAGAGCAAAGCAGCTCTGCTTGGGAAGCTCTGGAAACTCTGCCACTTGTACCACAATCACCAGGAGAACTTTAAGCCTTAAAATAATCTGATTCTACCACCAGTTACACAGCAAATCAAGATAAAAGTTGCTTCACAGAGTAAATAAGAGCTGGTGGCATTTCTTTTTCATTTTTTGGATGTTATTCCTTCATATTTAACATCTGGCAATAGTGCACGATATTTCACCAAGAGCACAGACTTCAGATCCTGTCACAGGAGTGCAGGTCTGTGATAAGTAAATCATCATCACTGGCTGAGCAAGAAAATCAAGAAAAATGGATCCAGGGGCCAAAACATACTCAAAATTGAAAACCTTTCTGCAGCAATACCAACCTACCTCCTCTGAACATTTGAGCAGAAGGGGGAGGTACTCAGCTCTCTCAGTACTTTTTGTCCATCCTTGTCCTGAAAGGAAAGGGCTATTCTCAACCCAAATCCAGCCAATTTCTGGAATTTATTCGCTTACAGAATGGAGATACAACAAACTGGAGAGCAGCTATCACCAGAGCTGTCTATAAAGCAGCAGCTGCAGATATGTGGAAACTTGTCCCCTGTGTTAGAGGCCACAGTGTGACCTTGCATGGCCCATGGAAGTGTTTAAAAACCATGATGACACTGGGTTCTGACTGACTGTGTCTAGATTGAGCCTGAACATCAAGAGCAGAAGGGCTCTGTGTCCCGTGCCAATTCTCTGATCTCTCCACTGCTCTCCTCCTCCCCACCTCCAGGCTCTGTGTCTCAGCAGCTCCCTGAAGTGAGCACCATGACATGAATCTGGAAGGGAAGAAGCCCACAACTCTTCAGAAAAGAGCAGTTATTCTTAGCTTTGTTTTGCTGATGTTTTTCTTTCTCTTCCCCCCTTTTTTTTTTTTTTTTTTTAAGAAAACAGAAAGCCTGCCAAAATTTGGGCTCTTTGATGTGCTTTGGAAAGAAAAACAATGCTATCTATCCAAGTCCTCTGAAAGGAACAAAAATATGTCATTTTCAGGCATGAATTACTTGAGGAGAACAATCAATACATTTCACAATTAAAGATGGTCAAAAGTTTTTTTTTGTATTTTTCTGGAAATTGTTTATTAAGAAAATTTCTAAGACATTTGCCTGTTTCAGTTAAACTTTTTGGGGAAGATTCATGAATTACAAGGTAGGTAAGGGAGGAAAGAAAGGAAAGGGAAGAAAGAGGAAGACACTCATATTTGCTGTAGAATATTCAATAATCTAATAATACCCGGGGGGGATGTGCAAGACCCCATCCAAGCTTTTCTTCTCTTGGTTTGGATTGAGTAGGTGAACCTGCCTGATCCATTTTATTCATCCTACTTTGGGATGAGCAAAACAGTTAGGTCGTAAAAGCAGGATCTGTTCTGTCCTGTTTGTTTGTTGATTCAGCTCTCAGTGGACATTTTGCTTTATAAAACTCTTATAAATGAGACACTGACTGCATTGTCTCATACTTAGGAAATTTGCTTTAGATGGAAGCATCCCAGGTTGGAATCTTTGGCCAGTAAATGTAGGGAAGCTTTTGAAGCTGCAGTTTTGGAAGTCATAACCTAATAACTGAACTTCTGTTTGCCCTCTATTTTTATGTTTTCTCCTCCATCACCCCAGCAAATTTTGAAAGAGCTGATTTATGCAATGAGAATTTTTGACATTTTTATTAAGTCCAGGTATTTAATAAAGACGTTCTTTCTTCAATATGATTAAACGGAGGTAGAGAAGGCCTTGTGCTATTTCTCTCTTCTTATTGAAGTATTTAACAGATTTTCTTCTTTTTTCCTTCCATTGACAGGGCCTGTTACATCATTTCCATGATCTGCTCTCACTTTCCACTGCAATGGCTGCATGGGAAATGCATCTGCTTCTACAACTGAGCTTTAAAGAGGTTTCTATCTATGTCTACTATTTCCAGTCCAGTGTTTGGGGTTTTTAAAAAAAAAAAAAAAAAAAACAAAGAAAAAAACCAGGGTACAAGTTAGACATGGACTGCAAAGGACGGGGACTGTTTCTTGAGATTGGTATGAAGGTGTTTGTCCTCTCATTGCCTGTGCTGCACTTGCTCCATGGATTGGGCTGGTTTACTTGGAAAGATCAGGGAAATCTAAAATGGATTGGAAGGGAGCTTAAAGATCATCTCTCATTCCAAGCCATGGAAGGAAACATCACTCCTTACCTCAAACTCCAACCACTTAACTCTGAGAAATATAACAAAGCCTGGCTTTCAGACAAAACATGTTGTGTATTTCTTGAAGGTTTCTTAGTTTGACTTTGGATATCCAAAAATTTGAGACTTCTACAATATCTAATCACCCTGTGAAAGTCCAGGCCAGGATTTCAGACTTTGAGGATAGCAAGCAAATGCCTTAAATTAGAGGTTTCAATTAGAGAATATTAAATTCTCTTCTGTAACAAGAGATGTTTTAGGAGAAATGGGAATAGCCAGGTGGGAGTAATTGGTTTTGGAAGAGCTGAATGTGGGAGCTCTGCCCAGCACTTTCTTTTATTACAGCTGTTTTCCTTCCACAGCTCAGGAAAACTCATATTCATGCACAGCCTTACACTTCACTGGGATTCCCTGACTTGGAGACTGTCAGCACTGGCTTATTATACAAGCTCTTTGTTTTATCCTACACAATGCATCTCGCCATACACAATTTGGCCTCTTAACCTGCCGTGAAATATTTCAAGGGCTTGTTGCTGGAAGGCCTCGCCTCTCCTGGCTGTGATTTGTGCATTTCCCTGACAGCTTCTAACGGCTCGTGGTGGGTTGCAGCACAATGAACTCACGCTGCAGAGCAGCACACTGAAAAAGATCTTTCAAATTATTGTTCCGGTGCAAAAGGTGCCCAATCACCTTCCACCTGCGGATTAGCTGGTTGCTATAGGAACACACTGTAGCTTTTCAGTGCTGTGCTGCTGTAGTGCCCAGATTACTGACTCTGACAAACACAATGGAGGGAAAGAATCACAGGTTATTAGCGCTGCTGCTGATGATGTGGTGTTATAAACCAGGGGTGGCACGGAGAGGATGAATAGAGCAGGAGCCTTGGAACCCCAAGGATGGGAGGAGGAGAGGGAGCAGAGTGGAGTGGAGCTAGAGTCATCACCACGGAAATGTTCTCTTTGATCTCCTTCTCCCCTCTGAATAGGTATTTTCATAATGTGATGCCAAATGCAAGCAATGCTGTAACTGATGGCAGAGCCACTGGTCATGTCTTTATCTTAGTAGGGGGCTGCTCCTCCTCTCTTCCCTTTTCTTCCAGTGAGTGCTGAAATCTGAACCTTTTCATTCCTGCAGGATTAACTCTGACCAAGGTCAGAGCAGCTCGTCACCAATATTCATCATGGGTGAGTCAGGCCTCCCTGGGAAATATCACCTGAAACATCCACCTACACAGGGCTTTACAGGGGAATTTTGCAGCGTCAGAAATGGGGAGTGAGCAGCTGAGATCAGGCCTCTGTCTGCTTTGGTGGCCATGACTGAGGCTCAGGAGTTTGTGCTGCTGAGCACCCTCCTGCAGAGCGAGCTGCCTGTGTATCTCATAGGGGAGAAATAACTGCTTGCAGCTCTGATTTGTAGATGGTCTAAAAATTCCCAGCTTTGCTACCACTTGTGCTTGGGCAGGGTGAGGCGAAGGAATAAAATATATACTTGTCCATTGCCTGTGTGCCTTGAGCAAAACAAGCTGTGTTTAGTCACAAGTTCACCAGATGGTACTCTGGGGGTTATTGCTGTTATATTACATTACTGCAATATATTAGACAGGGCACAGTGATTCATTCCCTATCCTCAGTGCTTTTGGAGGCAGTTTCCCTCCCGATGGAAGTTCGGCTGACCCTGCTGCTCGTGACCCTTGGGACCCCTCTGGGCTCCTGTTGAAGCACCAAACACCAGAGGCAGCACCAAACCTTGCACAAGGCCTGGCTTGCACTCTGAGAGGTGGCTCCACTTTCTGATTTGAGACAGCTGATTTGGGACATCGTTTTTTTTCAGCCCTGGCTGCCTCCTCCCTCCTGCCCTGCTCCAGCTCTGCTTGTTTTGCCTCCTCACTGGGGTCTCCCCGACCTTGCAATTGGACCCGTGTGACCCTCCAAGCAGGGACATGGCCTTGCTCAACCCCTTGTTTGCAAAATGCACTGAAATACAGAGTTTGCACTGTACTTTAGAGCCCAAGGACTATCAAAACACCACAGAGAGGTATTGTTTTCCTCCACTTCTGTTACTCTGTAGGCTGAAACCCTCAGCCCAGTGAATTATGTGCTGGCTGACACCTAAGAACCCATCCTGGGTCGGTGCCACATGTGCACGCAGGGCATAGGTGCTGCTGTTGGTCAGCTGGACAGCCCCTGGGACCATCTGCCACCCCTCTCTGGCCTCCCTGTCTCACCATTATGTTCACTGACCAGCTGCCTTTCCACATTGCCCTTGACAAAGCTCCCAAGCCACAGCCACCCCTTGCTGAGAGAGGAGACAAAGAAATGCCACAGCCCCTGGCTGTCCCCGTGGCCTTGAGCTTCTGATCGCAGATCCTTGTGCTCCCCAGCCCTGCCCTCGTGGTGCCAGGACACTGACTTGTGCTTTCCCCTAGCCACAAGCTCAGGATCACAATTTACTTCAGTTTTGCCCGAGGCATCTGAAAGAGTGATGGAAAAGTTTGGTCGGGGCATGCTTGGAGCAGAATTTCACTGCAGGTGTTACTGTAATTTCAGGCAACTTGAAAACTGCAAATTGGGCCCTCTGTCCCTTAGATTATGCTTTTCATTTTATGATCCTCTGGTGGAAAATTAATTTCCTAGGCTGAGCTCCTGTCTGCAAATTTAGAGGGACAGAACACACGCTGCCTCTTCAGTTTTAAGTGGCTTTAAACGGGAGCATAGAAAGGGAATTGAGAGGGACACCTAACCAGGGAAGTATGGAAACCCAGCTCAAATAAAGGGATGGGAAAACCTTCCATCACCATCTTCATAGGTATGCATGACCTTAGCAGAGCTCAGGAGTGCTGTGGGAACAGCAGTGCAACACTCCTGTTATGCCTTATTTTTTTATCAACAATGTTCTCCTCCACTTTGACGTCAGCCCCGAGATTGCTGGCTGTGATGCTCTGCACCTTTCATATTTTCTTTCCAGTCATAATATTGCTTCAGTCGTAACCTCAGCACTTTGAGGAATAATTGTCCCTGACAAGGGGGTGAATCACTGGCAGAGAGTTGATAAGCATTACATACAGATGACAGAAGTCAGGACATATCGGATTACTGCTGTGAATATAATAAAAGAGAGCCTAAACACTTTGGCAGCTCAAAGACAAGCCATTTCATAACTCTCTAGTGGGGCTATTATCTTCCATTTACTGCCACTGATAACCAGGTTGCAACTGTCTCCCTAGGATCTAGTTACAATTCACTTAACACTTAGAGGACCAGACATATTGGAGGACACTCAGATGAGGATAATTTCTTAAAGATCATTTATTTTTAAATTTTTTATCTTCCCTGCTTCCCCTCTTTATAGTGCGATAAGAACCTAAATCAGGAAGCTTTGAACTTCTTTGGGGAAAGGAGAGTTCATGGTCATCTTCCCTTTAATCTTTCACTCCTGAGTTTCTTTTGAAGCCAGTTGTTCATCTCCAGCTGGATAAGTGACAAGCAGGTTTCCACCTCTGCTACTCTTGTCACGCAGACCTAAAAGCTTGTTCTGATACTGACTCCATTAGGTTTGCACGTGGGTGTTGTGTTTTCATTTTTGCAGCCAGGAAGGGGCACCTGAGCTTACAAATCAGGGGGTGTTGGTGTGTATCAGTAACAGATAATTCACAGCAGTGCCAATTACAATCTGCACTGGTGGAGGCTGGATACAGATGATATTTATATGCACTGTGTGAGATTTTGTTTCTAAACCTCGCTGAGGAGTTTAACACTTCATGCTCCTAGATGTCAAAGTTCTCTCTTTTAGGCTAAAGAGAAAAGGAATTATTTGGCTGTGGCAGAAATCTGGTAAATCAGCAGTGACTCTCCTTACTAGCCAGCACACCAGTGAGAAAAATATATTAATCTCAGGGATTAACCCTTCTGTGTTAAGGGAAACTGTATTCTGCAGAATTTTGCTCTTGTATCCATACCATGATCAGCAAAGGCAAACTCTGCTCAGCTTTCAGTGTCTGAGGTGTTTGCAGATGCAGGCCAAAAGTTGATTCACCCTTTTTCAGGCTGAAGAATGAAGCATTTTTCTGTAAGTTTGGCCACATAAATCCGCTCTGGACTATCAGAGCCCCCTTCCCAGCCCCTGGGGGAGGAGTCTTGGCCAAAGGTGGATCAGGAGGATGGGAGGATGAAATCTCAGTGCTGTTGGCAACTCAGAGGTTGTGCATTCATAAATTAACCCTTTATCCCATGCACAAATGTTCTCCTTACATTCCCATCACTGGAAGCTCTGCAAAGAAGCCTCTCTCTGTGTCTGAAGGGGCAGATTTGGTGATCTAGAAACTAAAACATCCTTCTGTTACTTACTGCCTTAACCCACAGTGCAGACTTTACGTCTCAGCTGGCCAAAAAAAGGTCCTTACTGCTTTATGTAAACCACCACAAATCTGTTTGGGAGAGAAATTGTAGCAGGCGTTCTTAAACTACAAACAATAAGCAATGCTTAATTGCCTTTTCCTTATGCTTTGCATCTCTGCTTGATTTTTCACAGCACAAGTCCTCTTCTGCTACAAGGAACCTGTAAAGAGCAACAGCAATTAAGGAGGGAGGAAAGAAGCTGAAACAGTAATTCCAAATGGTTTTCTCCTCAGGACTTCTGGATCCCACCACTGACTTTCCAGCAGCCAGGCCAAGGCAGGTGAATCCCTCTGTGCCCTGGTTTATCCATCTGTAACATAAACATGGTCAGCTTTACCTGCTCCACCACTTTGTCACGTGGTGCACCCAAGAAATATCTGTGAATTGCTGTAAGATTCTGAGACCAAGGGAAGGCTGGAAGTGCCAAGTGTTGTTGTTGTTATTGTATTAACAATGTTGGCTGTTTTCACTGTTCATATGGTAGCCTGGCTGGAATTGGGCAGGAAGCCCAATAATACCAACAACCAACAAGAAACTAAAATAAAATGTTTTACTTAATGAGAGCCTCTGTTTAATCAGAAGCCTGTGTAATTATGTCACAGAGGGCTAAGGATCTAATGTTTTCCTAATACATTTGCTTTTAAAGGGACGATTAACCCAGCATATTTCAAGATGATAAGCTGCTTCTTTGTTCAGTTCCAGTTATTTTTTTTTCTGCATTCCCTGGTGAGTCCAGAGAGAACCTGAGAGTCAGAGGATTTTTCTTAATTGCGCCATAACTATCTTGTATGTCTGATGCTGGAGCATTTTCTAAAGACACAGGTTATTAGTCCTGGGTTGGATGGGTTTGCAAGAGAATTCAGATGCTGAATTTATTCTGGTTTGGCTCCTCTGAGGCATGGCATACATTACAGAAAGCCCTCAGTATTCCTGCCTAAAACAGTCAATATTCTTAGCAAGCAATTTGATCAGGAAGAAGGAATAAAATTATACCTTACCTTGAAACAAGTAAATCTTGATTTAAGCATTAAAGATTGGTTTTGGCTTACTTTTAAGTGTTATGTTTCTGCACACATTTTGCAAGATTTGTGCACATGTCTGTCAAGTCGGTTCTTTTCATATGTTTTGAGGAGAATAACTAACAAAAAGCTCTTCATTTCCTAAGGACCACTGTCTTAGGAGATGATAAACATCAGCCCATATTGAGATTGCAGGAAACACATTTATGCTGCATGAGATGGAGGAAAGGTCGCTGCCATATATGTGAGGTTCTCTGATTTACCTCTCTGTTCATAGGTTGGATAAAACATATTTACATTTTGTCCAGACCTTAGAGATGTTTGATCAGTTCTGTTCTCAAAGATCTGACTGTAAAAGATCTCATGGGCCCTCTGGGGAATTTATCCCAAGTTTTTGCCAGGAAGGACATTTGCTAATATCCAAGGAGGCTCTTCCAGGACAAGTCCTGGTTTGCCACAGGGAGGATGGAAGACTCCCCATTGGCTTCCCCTTTCTTTTGTGAGTAGCCACAAACATCAACCTTGTGTTTACAGTGTGGTGACATTTAGTGGGTCTTTGTACAAACTCTTTTACAGTGTGGTTTGGGTTTGTGTTTAGATGTGAGAATGGTGAGGATGGGGTACCTTTTCCATGTAGTGTGGTAGTCCTACATATTCCTTGATTGCTGCAAGTTGCTTTAAAAAGGGGAAAAAATGGAAGCAAAAGAAAGGTGTCTCCTTTTATATCAGCTATTGGCCACACGGGACTTTGGTAGGAAGGAAAGAGTTAATAATATTCTTATCAGGTCAGCAACTTTGAAAGGCTCTTCCACTTTGAAAACCATTTTCTTAATTATTTTAAGTTAACACTTAAATGCATAGAAAAAAATCACGTGTAATCTGAAACCCCAGACTTGGGGACAGGACTGGATTGAGATAACATTAAAGATTTTATTGCTGTTACATTATAAATTATTTCTATTATGATGGCCCTATGGGTATTACATTCTGTCAGTTCGCTTTCACTGTTACATCACTTAATGTTATTAACACACTTTAGGGTATAACATTACAGTTTTATTGTGGAAATCTTAAACACTTACATCCAAAGTACTGAATCAAGTTATTATCCTAGCTGACCAGATCTGGTCTATTATCATTTTATCACTCATAAAAACCTGTGATTCAATTTGATTTAACACTTGAGGAAAAATCATGGCTCATATATGCTTAAACCTAGTTGCAATATTAATACAAAGCAACACATGGATGACTTCATTTTATTAAAGTTGAGGTAGCCCTGGGAACCGCATTTATGATTTTATGCCACATGAGAAATTTGATCTGACCTGTTGCCATTTGTGATTCTCCAGTAAACTGATAAGGTTTTCTCACCAGTATATTAAAGAATTGTGAACGTTTTACCTTTCTTACTGCATTCATTAGACACTCAGAAACCATAAATTTATCATAATGTTCTAACCATGGAAAAAGGTGCTCTCCCTGTCTTGGAGTCCTGCCTTGTAGATTGGTAAATGTTGCCCCTTGGAAAGCAAACTGAGATTAATATTAGAGCAAAATAAGTCCTTTATTTCTGTGCTTACAGTGTAAACACTTTTCTGTGCAAGACAACTCTGTGTAGTCCAACAAAGCTCTTTTACCCTTGCACAACATTCGGAGGGAGAAGTTGATCTACTGAAGTCACCGGTTGAACATCGATTTTGGTTTGTTGGCTTTGTTTGCTGCCACTCCCTGAAATATTTAATATCTTGCTCAGGTTATCTGTTATGTCCTTTGAGGAGAAGACCCAAGGACCATGTGTGAAATTCAAAATGTCAAAACGAAACGTTTCATATGTTCCACTTCAGGGGAAGGGAGCAGACGAGGCAGTGCCAGCGTGGAAGAGCAGAGTGCTGAATGACCTCAGCAAGGAGTTGTGCTGCTGCAGCCCCGTTCCCAGCAGAGCCAGGGGAAGGGCTTTGCACATCCAGGAGTTCACGGGTGCAGTGACACTCCCGGGCACGAGGGTGGATGTGCTGAACCCACCGGCCCCGCTCTGTGCCATGCGCGCAAAATCACCCTGGCAACAGGGCTGACAGCTTGGGAACAGCAGCTGCTGCTTAATGAAAAACATTAGAAAAATAACTCATTCTACATCTCTGTCCTCTCTCTGTCTTCTCCTGTTTATCACCAAAAAAAAAAAAAAGTGTTCTGTAGCCACCACCCAGAACTTTAAAAACCCTCAAGGTGTGAGGGTCGGACGCACAGGTGTGCAGGCAGAGGTGAGTTTCAAAAGCCAAAAATAAAGTGACTGTTTAATTCCAACTCACACATTTTTTTTCTTAAGCCACAGCTAAATTGCTTGCCACTGAGCAAGTGGGCCTATGTGCATCTTGTGGGAGCACTGGGAATCTGCAGTTATTTATTCTTGCATCAAACATGCAACAAACAAGCAGCAATGAGGCCAAATGTGTGCTAAATTCCAAATCAGCATTTTTGGTTATTGCTGCTTGAAGTATCTCTGTTTCTGCTCAGAGCTGGGCTCACTGGAAAGAAGTAGCTCAACAAAAGCAAACAACTGTCTCTGGTAAAATCTTCCCCTTTATATTTTTTAATAATAACAAGTACTGATTTCTCTTTTTTTTCTTCTGCTGGAAATGTTCTGGAAAAGTCCAATAAAGACAACTGTGAGGCAGCTTTCCTGGGTAAAAACCAAACCAAAGTAATGCTACATCACCATGTGAAATAACAAATTAGGTGGAGAGACATTAACTAGTGTCATTCATCAGCCTGAAGTGATACAATTTATTACAGGATAATAATGGCCATAGTTGCATAGGTAGTAAAGGTAAAATTACATCATGACTTGCATTAGCAGTATGAGATTATATCCTGATTAATGCACAATTAACTTGTCATGGGTACAACACATGTGTTTGTAGATGGCCAGATGGGTTACACCACATCTCACACTCACATGGGCAGCATTTATCACTTTCTCCTTATCTCCAGAAATAAGGTGGCTGCATCCCCTACAATCCTCAGCCCCCTCACTGCCTTGGTGCAGAGCTGTCTAACATCAGGGTATGAGCAAGAAACCCTTGGAGATGACCCATGGAAATCTCAAACAGCTGCATGAACGCTGCTTCTTTCTGCAGATGGAGACCTCGTCCAAGGAAATTCCAAGGAAATTCCCCAAGGTGAGAGCACCAACCTGAGCAGCCCCTCTGCTGGCAGGACCACTCATCTGGGCTGCTCCCAGAGCTGGGGATCACTCTGAGCTGAGAAAGCCCCCAACACCCTAAAGCACTCTGGATGAGGAATCCCTTCTCTCTTTTATCCTCATTTTGTGGAGGAAATAATTCAGCTACAAGAACAGCTGAGAAGGATTTTTACTTTTAGTTGCAAGTATTGGTGGAGGTGCTTCAACTTCACCTGAACTGCTCTGTGGGTGCAGAACTGGGTTACTTGTCCATGTGCTGACATGCAGGCTTGCTTTTTCATGCTCTCCCTCCTTCTGTTGTGTTTTTTCTGCTGTGTGGCTGCAGGTCTGGCTGTGTGCAAACATGAATAAAGCAGCAAGGTGGCGGAAGGGAGACAAAGGGCCCCCAAGTTTTAATCTCTGTTCCATCACAAACTCAGTGTTTGTCCTTGAGAAACTCATTGTAATTTCTCTTACCAGATTCCTCAGTCTGAAGGGGGAGGGATATTACATTTTTAGGCCAGCCTACCTCACACTGTGTGTGATATTTCAATTAGCTGTTTGAAGTTGTAAATTGCTGAGTGATGGCAGAACAGAACTTCTCAAAATAAATGGCATCAGGTTTTTCTCTTTTTTTGCACACATTTTTAGTAGTGGAGTCTACTGGAAAGGACTATCTCACTTTGATCCTTCCTGTACTTTATTTTTATGTTTGATGGTACTCCCCAGTTCCAACACCAAATGATGGTCATTTTCCAGCATTTCCAATTTAGAAGCAAAATCTTATACAATAAGGAAATAAATCTAATTTTGTTGCCATGAAATGTCTTTTCCAGCTGACAGTACTGAGCACTTGGATGTGGGGCACCCAGCAGTGGGGAACATGCAGATTCTGAGTCCCAGGTGAGCGCATCCTTAGTGTTCAAAAGAAAAAGGGAACCATGTTATGTTTGGGTTCAACTGTTAGAATATTATAAAGTTCTTTAGAATTACTTTAGAAGTTCTTTAGAATTAGTTCTGTTGAATGGAATTTAGCAAAAAAATTCCTAGCACACATGCTTGTATCAAACAGTTCCAGGACAGACAGTGCCATTCATCATTTCCACCCCTGATATTTTTGATTCTGGGATGATTAGCTCAGGATCATTTTAGATGGTACTTCTCCTGTCTAGAGTACACACTTCACTCTGTAATGTGCTAGGCATCTATTTTTGTTATTAGCAATTCACTTTATTATGCCCTGGTCTCCATTTTCAGTGCAGTCTGGGAGATGCCATTGATGATGCTACAGAAAGGCAGCCCAGGCTTCATTTACACAAGTAAAAATGAAAAGTGACATCAGCATCTATTGGAGCTGTAGGTTCTGATATAACAACATTCAAATAAGTTTTTACAACAGCATTAAGTCTGTGTTTGAGTGCACCCTAGGTCTTAGACTAGCCTAGGAGAGAACAGAATCTGGTGTTCTCCCTTTGACATGTAGCAAAAAAACTCATGTATTATTAAAAATAAAATTATTCTCTTTCTTCAGGAGTGGTTTGTGTATCTCTTGAAGTACTTCAGGATGACAGAAGAGAGAGTTTCAATTGCACCAGCTGAAATAACTGACTTGCTCTTCAGTTGGAAAAGTGAATTTAAGATTCAATGATCACTGCTTACAATGTCCATTGGCAAAGACAGGAGGAAAACATAATTTCCTTTGTTAGCAATCTCACTGGTAAAAGGAAATGTCAAGCCTGAAAATGTAAATAGAGTAGACTTGGGGCATGTTGAGAATTCAGGGAAAATACTTTGGGTTGAAGTAGTTAATTGGCAAGTCTGAAACATTTCAATGTTAAATCATTAAATGTAAGGTTAAAAAATGAAAAAAGTAATTACTTTGAGACAGGCATCCACTTCAAACTCAGAAACCAAAAAAAAAAAAAAAATTCCCTAAATAAAAAAGTCCAAATCAAGCCATTCTTTAGATAATGTTTTGAGGAGGAAAAAAAAAAAATTAGTGGATTTCTCATTCCAAATGGGAAAGGCAAAGGAAGTTTTGTGCAGAACTTTGTCCAAGCACACAATTAGTTTTTGCTGTTTCTCAGAAGACATCCCAGCACATCCCAGAGCAGCATCATCAGTGGCTCATCAGTGTTCATTCCCAAATTACCTCTGCAAGCTTCCCGAAAGAGGAAAACTCTCACCCAGAAATTCCTGCTTTGCCCTCCAAGCAGGATAAATGAGGGGAGGGCTGTGCAGGTGGCTCCTGCTGTGTTTTGCTGTTTGAAATTCCCTCTCAGCCCCATTCCTGACGCCCGGGCAGGAAGGCTGTGGGAGCTGAGGGGATCTGACATCCATGACTAAGGCACTCTGTCAGGAGCCTGCAGCACAGCCAGGTATCAGCTCGCCTGGGAGCATTACAGAGCAGAAATTGCAGGGGATTGGGGTACACCCTTCCAGCTCCAGGAGCTGCTTTGCAATGTTTCTGAGCACAGAACACGCCAGGCAAAGGCAGGAGATTATCCCCCCCTCCCTCCTCCAGTCTCCATCAGTCCCTAGCCCAGCCTGTAATTTGGCAAGATGAATGAAGTGTTTTCGGAGTGTCATCACTTCTGCCTCTGGCAGATTTGCTTCCCCAGTCTGCCTTTCGCCTTTTGGACCTGTCACTCAGCCCTTTGGCAGAGGGGAGGAGGGGGAGGGAGGAGGAAATCATCTCTTTGCTAATCACCTATCACAAGCAATGAAATCCCGCAGGCTCCGTGCCAGCTAGGTACATTTCAAAGGGAAATGGAGGGGGGCAAAGTGTCACTCAAGGCAGATATTTATGAAAGATGACAGTTTGCAAATATCTCAATCTTGGACAAGGCTGCTCCAGTGACACAGAGGAGTGTTGCAAAATTGGAAGAGTCAGCAGCCAACATTTATTTCATCAGGACCTGTCCAATCTTCAGTGATCGCTTGACAGTCTGGGGATTGCTGGCACAAGCCGGCCCCTTTCCATTGGTGGCTTTCCTTTGGTTTGCATGGATCAGCCTAAAGAGTTGTAATAAATATGTAAAGAAGGATAAGAGGAGTAGTTTCGCAGAGCTGCATCCTCAATGGGAGCAGGGGCCCGAAGCTGTGCTCCCCCTGTTCAGGGGGACCAAAAGCAGCAGTGGTAATTACAGCCCTATTGATTGCTGCTGCACGGGGACAATGAGATTTGGGGACAAACAATGAGATTTGGGGACAAACAATGAGATTTGGGCTCCTCTCCCTCATGGGGACCCCCCAATGACTCTCAGCTCCCCCCACTGCCACAGCAGCTGCTGAGGGCCTTGTCCCCTGTGTCCCCCAGCTATGGCTGCAGTACAGGAGAGATGTCCCCTCTATCCCCATGGCTTGGGGGGGCATCAAAAACTTGCTGCTTGTGCAGGGATGAGGTGAATGATCTAGGAACTCATTTCCACAGCTGTGAGTGGGCTGAGGAGCTCACCTGGGCCTGGGCTCCACCCTCCACACCCTGAGGATTGCTGTGAGCTGCTGGCCCCAAGGGCTTGGCCAGGCAGGGCTCCAGTGCCTTCACAATGCAAGGGAATATTTCTCCCCTGCTTCACTCAGCCCCTTCCTAGAGGCTGTGGGTGCTGGTTTGGGCCAAGGAGGCTGACTTGGACCAAGAAAAGGGATTTGCTGCATGGAGTAACCCAGGTAGGAAAATGGGAGTGCATCAGCACAGGGAGGGAGGGGGACAGAGGGTTACAGGAGGAGGAGAGAGGAGCTGAGTTGGTATCAGGGCAATGTGGGCAGAGCAGGGCAAAGGGGTGAGGATTGCCACTCCAGGCTGTGGGAGCAAGGAAAGGCACATCCCAGTGCTCTTCCATCAGCCATCCAGCAGGGAAATGCTCCTGTGGGTCACATTCCAGCACTGCCTTGTTCTGTAGGATCTGTGGCTCAAGGCTTTGAGGGCCTGAATCTCTGAACCTAGGAAACGTGCTTCTGCTTTTTAATTGGCCTTGTCATTTCACTTGTCCATGTTGCAAACTGATTGAGAGAAGAGCAATACAAAAATGCTGTTTCCCCCAGAAGCCATAGCCCTGCAGATGGAATTACCCTGCTGTGGGCTGGGAAGCAGCAGTTTGTGAGATGCTGTGTTGGAAAGGTCTAAAGTGAACAGTTATTGACAGCAGCAGAGGAACCAATGCAGCTGTTGGCACAAAAACTGGAATTTCCAAGTGAAGAAATTTCCTTTCTTATCACTAACAAAGAGCTGTAGATGACAGTTGGAATAGTCCTGTCTCAATATTCACTATTTTCATGGGCAAATACAAGGACTAAAAGGAGAGGCTGATTCAGCTGCTTGCTATGTGGTCTTTTCTTGCTTCTTGTGCACTGAGAGCTTATGTGTGTGTGACTCATGGGGAGTAACATGGATGGAGGTGGATTATGTTAGCAGAATGCAAAACTGCTCTTCTGTTTTAGGGTTTTAGCAATTCAGTTGAAATGGATCTTGAATTCAATTAAAGGCCTTGTTCTTCCTTCCTTTATGCCTCACATATCTCGGAGTTTTGCATAATTTAAGCTAAACTGTGGCAAAAAACAGCACCCTTATTTTAGTCATCCCAAAGTAAGAGCTTTTCTCTGAGATCTCTGGAGTTCAGTAAAGATGCACATGGGTGATAAGTGGTAAGATGCAGCAGAGTTCTTGATGAGAGAAGCTACCATTGCTTTTAGTCTAGTGTATTGCTAGAACATCCTAAGGCAGCACATAACTCATGTATGTCAGTAGGACTCTCCAAAATTATTAAGTGAAACAAAAAAGAAATGCATCAATGAGCTCTGCTTATTTAGAGTCCAACAATATAGTGTGAGTATTCATCAGAGATGCTTAGAAATGCAGCTTGTTTTTTACAAACCCTCAGTTCAGTGACGTTTACAGGTGTGCTGAGGCCAGCACGTTGTGATGTAGTCCTAAGGTTAATTTTGTGGTACCCAGAATGATCAAAGTTGCAGTTGTGTGCATGGTTTGCTGTCTGCTCAAGTTGGCATGGAAAATCCTCCTGCAGTTCCTCCCTTGGCTGCCCTGGCAGCCCAGAAGGGCTGAGTGGGCTGAGGCAGAGGTTAGCACCCTCCCTCCACTCTGCTGCAAATGTCTTTGCCAAAACAAATTATTCTTACCCAAGGATTCCTGGGTAAATCTTCCATCACTGGGAAAAAAAAAAATGAAGTGCTATAAAAGGATAGTTAATCACTGCACACCCTGCAAGGAGCACAAGGCCATTCCAGAGTAATTGGAATTATCTTCATTATTCTTATTTTCAATTACATTTCAAAATCAAATAACAACTTGCCTTTTAGACAGTTTCATGATCTAAATCCCAGTTCTATAATTTTTACTTAGTGCTTACTTACACAAAAGTTCTCCTTGATTGTAATGGCCTCTTTGCTTCTCCAAGAAACTTCCTGAAGCAAAGAAATTTAAAAAGTTTTGGTCTTTGAAACAGCAGAATCCCAAGCTGTCCACACAAATGCACAGGTAGTAATTGCAAGTCACCTGTCCTGTTATTTAAATCTATATTCAAGTAGCTGCTTTTTCAGGTGCCACCTTGACACCAATTAAATGCACAGCTGTGCATCTGTTGGTGAACAGGGCTCAGTTGCTGCTGTGCTGGAGCTCAGGCCATGGCTGTAACTGCAGAGTAAGCAGGAGGATTCTTAATAATTATTAAACAGTTGATGAAAAAAAATTAATGGATGCATCTAAACTTTGCAAAGCAGGTGCACAGCCTGTTGTTGTGTGGGTTTCATGGGGGCAGCTGGCTGTGCTCTGGTGTTGGTCTGGAGTGGGCAGGGAAATTGTCCTCAGAGGTTCTTTGGCTCCTGGGTGCAGTGTCAGACTTGTGGATATCCTCTGGGCATGAAATCCAGGCTGATGCCAGTTCTGTGCGAGTTTTAAGTTGTTTTTCATGGCTGTATAAATTATATACAAATTCAAACAGGATGGGACACTTGAAATCAGTGTTATTTTTCTGGCATTAGTCTCATTACATTGTTACAACAATGGAAAGGAAAGATGCAAACAGCTCACTGATCAAACCGAATGCTAAGGAAACCTAACATTACAGCATAACATGAGACAGTCTCAGTCTAAGTTTCATCTAATTCCACAGAGCAAAAGCATATTGACAGTAGTTTTATCTGATCACCTGAAGTACACGTAGCTGTACTTCAAAACAATAGCAGTTTTTTCTCTAATACAATGCCTCGTTTATAAAAGACAAAGCACAGAGACTTATTCATATTTAACCTTCTAAATGTATACTTAAAATATACTTTTTGCAACTTAGAAAGACAAATCACATAGGCCTATTGTTCTATTTCTCATGTCTGTGCTACAGCTCAGAAAACTTTTTCTGTTGCTTTGGCATTTCACTGTCTTTGCTGTCTTTTGGGGCTTGTCTTTTTCACAACTTTCTCAAAACCGTCTAATTTTATGGATTCCAACAGCTGTACACAGGAGTCTGCACATGCACAAAATATCTGCATGTGCCTGTAACCTTGAGTCCACACCAGCCATCCTGGCAGGATGGGCAGCAGTGAGGAAAAAGGAGCTTCTGCTTCTCAAATCAACACAATTCCATCTCTTCAGAAAGCGTGAAAATGATACAGCCTATACAAAGTTCCATGCCTGTGTTTTCACACCACATGCTCAGTCCCAGAGTCCTCTGGAATCTCTTTTCTGCCTCACAGGAAGGAAGAATACTTCAAAAATAAAAGGCAAAACCCACAACCAAAACTCTCAATGTTATTCAATGGAA